CCCGCTACGGCAGATCCTATTGGAGGAGTTTCACGATGTACCATACGCGGGACATTTCAGGAGCAACAAGACGTTAGCGGGAATAGCAAAGTATTACTACTGGCCCTGGATGGCAGCAGACGTGCAGCAGTTCGTCACCTCATGCGACACGTGCCAGCGGATGAAGAGTAGCAAGCAGAAAAAAGCAGGGTTACTTCAGCCTCTACCTGTACCGGAGCAGCCATGGCAGGTCGTTAGCTTAGACTTCATCACGGGACTTCCTTCGACCTCACGAGGGCATGACCGTATCCTCGTAGTGATCGATAAATTCTCCAAAATGGGTCACTTCATCCCGACCAACGCCACGGCTACAGCTGAAGCAACTGCTCGCCTCTTCTTTGACCGCATCATCACCATCCACGGCATCCCCGCTACACTCATCTCAGACAGAGATCCTAAGCTCATGGGATTGTTGGGGACTAAGCTTGCGATGTCTTCAGCATACCATCCTCAGACTGACGGACAGACAGAGCGACTCAATCAGGTGGTTGAACAGTTACTGCGCACAGCTTGCAAAGACGACATCAGCCACTGGGATACACAGTTACCAACCCTAGAGTTCGCTTACAACAACGCTTCCTATGCGACCACAGGAAAAACTTCTTTCTTCCTGTGTTACGGACGATAACCTCTCACACCACAGCAGCCAACCACACCGGCACATGTCCAAGCCGCACACAACTTCGTCACCACCATGCAGCAGCTATGGGAGAAGACTCAGCGACGTCTCACCACGATGCAGAACTCCCAGAAGCGCCGATCGCCAGCGACGAGATCACTCAGTAGCAGTTGGAGATCAGGTGCTTCTCGACACGCGCAACTTGAACCTGTCTCACCTACCATCCAAGCTCCGGCCTCGCTTCTGTGGTCCTTTTCGCATTCCTCGTGGAGGCGCAGGTGACACCAGTTACATTCCGCTTGCACTTACCAGAGACGTGGAAGCTTCACAACGCTTTCCATGTTCAGCTACTGAAGCCCTACAAGGACCCCAACCAACAGTTCCAGGGACGGCAGCTACCGCCACCACCACCTGTACTCGTACAGGATGAACCAGAGTACGAGATCGAGCGTGTTCTCACTCATCGGCGCCGCGGCGGCAAGACCCTTGAGTTCCTGATACGCTGGAAGGGATATGACCCCACTGAGGACAGTTGGGTTACAGAAGCTGATATGGGCAACGCACGCCGTGCTCTCAAGGACTATCTTGTCAAGCAGGGTGTATCTCACGCCACCCAGCTTTGAGGGAGGGACAAGTGAGAGTACGACGGCTTATGCCAGCTATGCTTGCTTGCCTTTACTTACTTATGCTATTTCTAGCATAGGTTTTTTGTATGCATGCATGAATTGCTTGATTTCCTAGGCTAGGTGCTTTCCTATATTTTGTTATCGTTATAGCACCGAGCTAAGTTACGTACACCGAATTCTGGGCTTTTTGGTTGCCAGCAGATTGCCTTCTACCGAATTCGGGAAGGATCTGTTCGTGTAACACCTGGTTACTAGGCCTTGTGTCGAGCCTATATATAGCCTCGTGTTGTACCAAGATGATTCATTCAACTCAAACCCTCTTTCCTGAGGTCGATCCTAGATCCTCACACTCCGGCGGCCAGTCTACGGTCTGCACCAGGCGCCTCGTGAGTGGCTCGACACACTGAGGATGACACTTGCGGCTCTTGGGTTTGCTCCGTCCACTGCTGACCCGTCGTTGTTCCTGCGCACCGACACTTCCCTGCCGCCGTTCTACATCCTCGTGTACGTCGACGACTTGGTCTTCGCCACTGCTGACACTGAGGCACTCGCCCTTGTGAAGTCGGAGCTGCAGAAGAGACACACCTGCACTGATCTGGGTGAGCTGCGTAGCTATCTTGGCTTGCAGATCACTCGGGACAGAGCACGCCGCACCATTACTCTGACTCAGTCACACATGGTGCAGCAGATCCTTCAGCGCTTCGGCTTCCAGTTCTCCTCACCACAGTCCACTCCTCTGTCTACACGTCACTCGCTCTCAGTGTCGTAATAGTAGGTATACTGAGGAGCCATAGCTAGGGTTGACCTAGCTAGGCATGAGAGAATGAAGGCAAAAGAGGACTGAACTAGCAAGAATGGGGATACAAATAGCAAACCCTAGAAGGGTTGTACTCGCTACAGAGCACCCCACTACAGGCTAGAGCATAATATTCTGACACACCCCCATAGCCAAAGTGGGGTGTAATCAGCAGAGGAAACAAAGCAGTACAAGCTCAGGGTGGATCACGATGTCACCACTCATTCTGAGCACAAGCAAGAAGCAATAGTTTAAGGTTCACAATTATGAGCAAAGCTAGAGGCAGTCACAAGGGGTCAAGTGAGGAGGAGGAGGCGAGACTGTAGGTGGAGAGGAGATAAGAGGCGTCGGCTGAAGCTGCAGACACACGGGCAACAGGAGTCAAACTGGCTCAGTGGCTACCGGAACAAGCGCCCCGGACTACAGGAGTAACTGGCTCCGCGGCTAAGAAGAGCGGCAGACGAGCAACGGACCCACGGGCGACTGGCGCAGCTGGCTACGACTGGGCTACCGGAACAAGCGCCCCGGACTACAGGTGCTGCTGACGACAAGACGGCAGCCTCCGCTCAACCTCCTCCAACTGTCCCACACCCCTCGACACACACCCCCTGCTTCAAACCCTAGCTCCACTCCGACGGTACCCCCCTTAGACCCCAAACCCTAGGCTCCCACACACCACCCCCCTCAGCGGCAGCTGTAGCAGAGGGAGACGAGGGAGGAGGAGGAGCAGGGAACGGCACACTGAAGCTGCACCCCCATACCCCCCACCCCAAACCCTAATCCAGGAGAACGGGCAGAAGGAGGGGTGGGGCGCCTTCAGAAGCACGGGGGACAGCGGGGAGGACAGGGGAAGCGAAGAACGGGCCGCCCACGGGCCTGGCACCGCCTCCCGAACCGCGCGCAGGCGGTCCGAGCCGCGCGCGGGCCTGGCGCAGCCCGTACGGGCCGCGCGCGTGCCTGGCGCAGCCCGTACGGGCCGCGCGCGGGCCTGGCGCAGCCCGTACGGGCCGCGCGCGGGCCTGGCGCAGCCCGTACGGGCCGCGCGCGGGCCTGGCGCAGCCCGTACGGGCCGCGCGCAGGCCTGGCGCAGCCCGTACGGGCCGCGTGCCGGGTGTACGGGCCGCGTGCAGGCCACGACGGGCGACGGGGGGCGACGCGCGGGTCCCCGTCGCCCGTCGCAGCGCCTCCCGGGGGCGACGTGCCGAGTGACGGGGCAGGAACCCGTCGCGCGCCTCGGGGCACACGGCGGGCAGAGAACCGCCGCGCGCCTCGGGGCGCACGGCGGGCAGAAAACCGCCGCGCGCCTCGGGGCGCACGGCGGGCTGAAAACCCTAGTTTCGACGCCGCGCACCACGGGGCGCGCGGCGGACAGGGAGTAGCAGTAGCAGCGGAAGCAGTGAAGTGGGCCCACAGGCCAAGAATGTTAAGCTCTGATACCATGTCGTAATAGTAGGTATACTGAGGAGCCATAGCTAGGGTTGACCTAGCTAGGCATGAGAGAATGAAGGCAAAAGAGGACTGAACTAGCAAGAATGGGGATACAAATAGCAAACCCTAGAAGGGTTGTACTCGCTACAGAGCACCCCACTACAGGCTAGAGCATAATATTCTGACACTCAGCTCCACCTTCGGACGAGTCCGTAGAGTCGAGTGGCCCGTACCCAGAGCTTGTGGGCTACCTCATGTACCTGATGACCTGCACTCGACCTGACCTTGCGTACCCTCTTAGCATCCTAGCTCGCTACGTTGCACCTGGGAGACACCAGTGAAAGCACTGGGAGGTTGCTAAGTGGGTGTTGCGCTACTTGTGTAGTACATCAGGCATGGGGCTGGTGCTTGGAGGACGGGGTCTCGTTGTCCTCACTGGACACTCAGACGCCTCTTGGGTTGACGACCTGGCTACACAGCGGTCGTCACAGGGTTACACCTTCAGCCTTGGTTCCGGCTCTGTCTCTTGGCGGTCTACCCGCTCTTCTTCTGTTCTCAGCTCTAGTTGTGAGGCTGAGGTCTACGCCACAGCCATGGCTGCACAGGAGTTACGCTGGCTCACCTACCTGGTGACGACTTGGGAGAGCGGCCTTGTTCTCCTCCAGTTCTGTACGGCGACAACAAGGCAGCCCTTGCCTTGTGTCAGGAGCACAAACTGGAGCACAGAACGAAGCACATCGCTCTGCGTTACTTTCTTGCTCGAGAGTTGCAGCAGCGTGGCCAGCTTCGTCTTGCTTACGTGGACACACGGGCCAACACAGCTGATATATTCACCAAGGCACTTCCGCCTAGTGATCATCAGTGACACTGCACGGCTCTAGGCCTCGTGCCAACGTTCTCTCGCTTGCTCACTGCTTGACCTTGCTTGTACTGTGATCTATATATCTTTGCATGTTTACATATGCTAGGTTGTGATCACTGTACTGCTTGCTTTGTTTTATATAACTCTGCATGTGAACTGGCCTTGTGACCATTTGCTTGTGCTCAGAATGTGTGGTGACTTTGTGATCCACCCTGAGCTTGCTTTGCTTTGCTTTTCTTGACTGGTCTTGTGACCACTAGTTCTCCCCCACTCTGCCTATGGGGGTGTGTCAAACTATATGTACATGTTTACATTGTGTAGGCTATAGTTGGGTAGCCCATAAAGGGTACAACCCATTCTAGGGTTAGCACTTGTACCCACCTTTCTTCTCAATGGCATTCATTCTTGCCTAAGATTCTAACACAGTGCCCCAGTACAGGCCACCCATTCCAGTGCCCTTGTCTGGAAACGTGGGTCCATCCGGCAATGCTCCTCCTCCACTCAACCGCTGCACACAGCCTTGCTGCAACTCAATTGTAATTCCCTGCCTTGCCTCCACGTTGCTGTCGTTCCTTTCACTGCCACGCGCTGTGTGCTTGTGCTTGTTCTTGTGCTTGTGGTGGATCAGTACTATGATGAGCCTTGTGCTTGCTGCCTTGGAGCAGCCTCATGTGGTGGAGGAGAGTGGGCGGGATCGGCAGCAAGTGGAGGTGCAGCAGCGCACACTCGCAGCACCTCCTCAGCCTGTCGTTCGGGAGACAAGGAACGCGGAAGCATAGGGGGGTCACCGAGCGAGAAGATAGTGAGGAGCGAGAAGAGTGAGCAGATTTGAGAGGAGAAGCATCGGCCTGTGCCCGTTGTAAGCACGTGTTTAAGCTGGAGGTGCCATGCATGTCGCGCTGACTGTGTGATTCGCAGCAGCATCTCGCTGCCGAGCTGACGTGGCAGTGGCGTTGCGTGGGGGGCCGTTGGGCGACACGGTCAGCATACTTTCCGTGCCATGCGACAGTGGCTGCTGACTGTTTCGTAGTCAGGAACAGGGAATGAATGCGGAGACGGGGCGTGGGGAGGGAACGCGTGCATTTGTTGGTTGGAATGGCTGTGTAGAAAAGCGGCCGCGGCAAGAGAAGCTTCAAGAGGAAGCAAAGACCAGCACGGCGGGGGACGTCATGCGCGCGAAAACACCTCTCTGCGATGGAATGCGCCACGCTCCATTTGCCGCTCAACCGCTCGTCCGCTTGTCCGCTCTTCCGCTCATCTGCTCTTCTGATGTCTGTTGCGCTTTTGAGAGGTTATCTCCCTGCTTGAAAGGCAGGTGCACTCAACTCGTCTCTCGCCATCGTCCATCGCAGCGCAACGCACATGTCGGATGCGCGCGTGGCGCGTCTTGGCGTTAGCGCGACGCGTGTGGTTTATGGGGTGTCGCTTCCACACCAGCCCGCCCGTCGCTTTAAACACCTGCAGCGCCACGCGCGTCACCTCGCCCAGTGCCATCGATCTGTTAACGAACAATCTCGACGACAGCCGTCGCCGCTTGAAGCGTCCGTAACGGTTAGCACTGTGCAAAGATCCGGCGCGCTTTAGCTATGGCGGTTATTGGGCTGGCTCGGTGCGCTTCTGGGGGTGAGGGTGATGTGACTTTAGCGGGGAGTGGAGAGTTGGAGAGGCCCTGCAGTTGTGGAGTGAGAGATACGGTTCAGTTCGGCTGCAATGCGCGGTAAGAGACAATTTATGCTACATTAGTATATTTCTAATAGTATGGAGTTTCCATTTTCCTTACTTTGCACCCAGGTCCTCAGATTCGTTTCTTATCTGTCTTATTCATCAGATTTGGTACAAGGCATGATGTGTGGTTGTAATGACCTTCATTGATTAATTTTTTAGCTTCAGATTTCTCTAACTATTGTTACTTGGAAACAAACAAGACAAACAGGATAACTAAAGCTGGTTACATATGGCAGTTCTCAGTACCTATTACGAGTGCAACTGAGTGAACGAACGAAGATTGCACTATCGAAGCAAAACAATACATTGAGCAAAAGGATTAGCGAATGTTATATAGAGAACTAGCGTGGTAACGATAATAAGCGAACAGTGGGGTGCGCGACGGGTTGGTTGCTGAGGTTGGGAATTATCGAGGCGAAAGGCCGGAAAGCGAGTTACCAACAGAGCCGTGAGGTTGGGTCGCAATGTGAAACAATGGGTGGAACAGTAGTCGAAGCGAGTGTCGCGAGTGGTAATGGTTTTAATGTTGGTTATGTTGGCGGGAACAGCCGTGTACGCGGTAAGCAGGGATGCGAAGCAAGGAAAATTGATTTTTCCTTACACTACCCCTTCCCCAAAGGAGGCCCCTTACGAAGTGCGTGTAGATTCCTGAAATTTATGCTTCGCAGGTACTCGGTGACAGGGTAGTTCTCGATTTTATCCTGGGATATCCAATTGTTCCCAGTGAGTGTGCGGTCTTTCCAGCGTATCAAAAACTTGATGCGATGGGCTCCATGTAGGTCGCGAACTCGGTGACTCGATATTTTGTCGGGGCTAATGATTGGTTCTGTGGGCGAACGTATGATGGGCGACTGCGAGGCAGTTGTCTCGTGGATGGGACGTAGGGGCGGACGAGACGGACGTGGAAGGAGGGTCTGACATACCAGTCAGCGTGTAGGAGGAGGTGGGCGGTGACGGGTGTGACCGTGTGGCTGATGCGAAACGGCCCGCAGTATCGTGGGCGTAGTTTTAGAGTGACGGACAGGCGGAGGTTCTGAGTGTCGAGTAGTACGAAGTCGTTGGGCTGGTAAGTGACGGGGCGGTGGTGGCAATCGGCGTTGCGCTTAGCGATGATGTTTGATTTTTTTGTGGCGTCTGCTGCTCGGGTCCGGGCGGCCTGTAAAATTTGGACGAACTGTTGCGCGCGTGGGACTGGGTATCTGGGTTTGGCGTCATGGGCAAGGTGAGGTTCTGACCGTAGTCGTGATGATCTGGTTGAGGAAAGAGAAATCTATTGAATGATCGCCTGGGTATAAGGCGAGGCTATATATAGGCTCGACACAAGGGCAGTAATCCGCGTGTTACTAGAAGGTTCCGCGGGTCGCGAAGCGTCCCGAACGGGTCCTTCCCGAATTCGGTAGAAGGCAATTCGGTGGCAACCGAAAAGCCTAGAATTCGGTGCACGCAACCAAGTTCGGTGCCTATTACTATAATAAATTTAGTAAAAACAACGAGCCTAGGAAATCTAGAAAAAGCAAGCAAAATAAAGCCTAGCTAAGCTAAATGATGTAAAAAAAAGCAGAATCAAGCAATTAAAGTCCAGAAAAGCCGTCGTACTCTCACACGTCCCCCCCTCAAAGTTGGGTGGCGTTAGATATACCCTGCTTGACAAGATAATCCTTGAGAGTGCCGCATGCGTTGGCCAAACCAGCTTCTGCAACCCAACTGTCCTCCGATGGGTCATATCCCTTCCAGCTTAGTAGGAACTCGAGCGTGTTGCCACGTCTGCGTCGATGAGCGAGAACTCGTTCCACCTCGTACTCTGGTTCATCCTGTACGAGAACAGGTGGTGGTGGCGGTAGCTGTCGACTTGTGAACTGCTGGTTCGGGTCCTTGTAGGGCTTCAGCAGCTGAACATAGAAGCGTTATGAAGATTCCACTTAGTAGGTAAGCGCAAGCGGAATGTAACTGGTGTCACCATCGCCTCAACGCGAAAGGGACCATAGAAGCGAGGCCGGAGCTTGGATGGAAGGTGGGACAAGTCCAAGTTGCGCGTGTCGAGAAGCACCTGATCTCCGACTGCTACTAAGTGATCTCGTCGCTGTCGATCCGCATACTACTTCTGGGAGTTCTGTAGAGTGGTGAGACGCCGCTGAGTCTTCTCCCATAGCTGCTGCATGGTGGTGATAAAGTCATGTGCGGCTTGGACGCGTGCCGGTGTGGTTGGCTGCTGTGGTGTGAGTGGTTCCCATCCGTAGCACAGGGAAAAAGGAGTTTTCCCTGTGGCCGCATTCGAAGCTTTGTTGTAAGCGAAATCAAGTGTCGGTAACTGTGAATCCCAGTGGCTGATGTCGTCTTTGCAAGCTATGCGCAGTAATTGTTCAACCACCTGATTGAGTCGCTCAGTCTGTCCGTCATTCTAGGGATGGTATGCTGAAGATATCGCAAGTTTTGTCCCCAACAAACCCATGAGTTCCCTCCAGAACTTACTAGTAAATTTTGGGTCTCTGTCTGAGATGAGTGTAGCGGGGATGCCGTGGATGGTGATGATGTGGTCGAAGAAGAGGCGAGCAGTTGCTTCAGCTGTAGCCGTGGCGTTGGTCGGGATGAAGTGTCCCATTTTAGAGAACTTATCGATCACCACGAGTATAGCGTCATGCCCTCGTGAGGTCGAAGGAAGACCAGTGATGAAGTCTAGGCTGACGACTTGCCATGGCTGCTCCGGTACGGGTAGAGGCTGAAGTAACCCTGCTTTTTTCTGCTTGCTACTCTTCATCCGCTAGCACGTGTCGGAGTGGGGCATAGTTTATTACCCAAATCTTTCTTGATCCCTTTCTTATAGCTAAGTCTTTCTCCCACTGTAACAGCTTCTGTTTCTGTGCTGTAGCGACCTCTCCGTCCACGGAGTACCCATGTTGGAATAGACCCTTGAGCAGAGGGTTCATCCCGTTGAGCTGGATGCCTGTTCCATGTCCGGGGCGGCTCAACGCGTCTGCCTTGTTGTGTAGCCCGGGTTTGTAGACGATGTCGTAGTGGAAGTGAGTTTCCAGGAAGTCCATCCACCGCACCTGTCGTCGTGAGAGCATAGGCTGCGACTTCAGGCATTTGAGACTGCAGTGGTCAGTGTAGACAAGCTCCCTTCAAGTAACACCTCCACGCCTTGAAGGCTATGACTATTGCTAAGGCTTCCTTGTCATGGATGGGGTAGTTTAGTTCTGCTCCGTGTAGCTTCTTACTAAGGTAGGCGATGGGCTGCAAACCGCGTCCGTGATCCTGCATCAGTACTGCTCCGACTGCCTGGTCACTAGCGTCTACTTCCACCACGTAATCTCTGTCTGGATCCGGTAGGATGAGGTTTGGCGCTGTAGTCAGTAATGTCTGTAGCCGCTCCATGGCTTGCTGTTGAGGAGTATCCCATTTGTAGGGCGTATCCTTTTTCAGTAGGTTGGTCAGTGGCGCTGCTATCTTAGCATACTGCGGCACAAACCTGTTGTAGTAGTTGGCGAAGCCTAGGAACTGCTGCAACTCCTTCACGTTCTCTGGAACTTTCCACTTTTTAACGACTTTGATCTTCCGCGGGTCCACGTGTACGCCCTCCGCACTCACCATGTGCCCGAGAAATTGCACCTTCTTCAGGGCAAAGTTGCTCTTTGACAGCCTCACGTAGAACTTGTTCTTCCGCAGGATCTCGAAGACTTTCCGCAGATGCTCCACGTGCTCCTTCATGGTTTTGGAGTAGATCAGTATGTCGTCCAGGTACACCACCACGCACTCGTCCAGCAGGGGCCATACGATATGGTTCATCTTCGCCTGGAACGTCGCTGGTGCGTTGCAGAGTCCGAACGGCATCACCAAGTACTCGTAGGAGCCGTATCTGGTACGGAACGATGTCTTGTGGATCGAGTTGTCTGCCATCTTGATCTGCCAGTAACCCGACCGTAGGTCCAGCTTTGAAAACACCATTGCACCACGAAGTTGGTCAAGAAGATCGTCTATGCGTGGTATGGGGTATTTGTGTCAAAATACTAGGAGGTAGTAGGTTGTGCCCTAGGACTAGGGTTTGTGGTATACGAAGGAGAATTGTGAGAATGGGAATGATGATGAACTAGCAAGCAGCAGGATACATATAGGAAACCCTAAGGGGTTGTACTCACTATTGAGCACCCCACTGCAGGCTAGACAATAACATTCTGACAATTTGTTCTTGACTGTCTGTTTGTTCAGTGCCCGGTAGTCGATGCACTTCTGTAAACTACTGTCTGACTTTGGAGTGAAGAGAACTGGTGCGCCGTAGGGAGAGGTGGATGGGCGGATCAGTTTTCTGTCCAGTAGGTATTCAATTTGTTTCTTCATGTCTGTCAGTTCGGTCGGACTAAGGCAGTATGTTGCATGTGAGAAGGGTTTCGCACCTGGTTCCTCCACGATCTCGTGCTCGTGGGTTTGGGATGGAGGTACTCCTGCAGGTGGGTCGCGCGGCATGATGTATTTGTACTTCTCCAACACCTCCTTCACTGCTGCAGGTAGCTCCGAGTTCACCTTAACCTTCTCTTCTGCTGCCAAAACCAGTGCTAGGTAGCCCGTGTTACTCTTGTTCCCCGTCCGTTGGAACCGTGCCAGTGTCGTTTCAGGAACATCCCCTGTATCCGTCCAGCTTCGCAGTGCTATCCTCACGTTTCCCGTTGTTGTAGATGCACGCCTTCCGGTTCACCCTGTCTATCTCGGGGTTGAATCGCTTCAGAAAATCACGCCCCAAGATGAAATATAATCCCTTGATGTTCGTGATCGGCAAC